CTGCCGCTAGCGGCAGAGGCCGAGCGAGATCTGGCAGGGGCGGGACCGACCTGGACAATCGATTTCCAGGGCGACTTTTGCTTTTGGGGTCGCCCCCGATATCGTATTTTCGGGGGCTCTTTTTGGCATTTCGGGGGCGAAATCGCCCGCCGCCCCCGTGTATTTTTTCCCCTGGTAGTGGGCCTTGGTAAGAGTCGTGGTTGTGGGTGAGGACTGAGGCAGCATTACAGGCGCTGGTTTTACATTACAGGCGCTGGTCTATGCATCACAAGGACCAGAGTCACACTTCGCAGCCGATCAGGCCTTCGATGAGGATGCAGCCGTCTTTAACTTGGAGCTACTCATCAGAGTGGCTCTGCAGAACAGGTAAAATATCACGGCTTATACCTCTGCCCCACAGAATGTGTAAACTACTGTATGCTATGGCATGTGAGACTCACTTTTTATCCGAGGAAATTGATAAAAAATGGCCGCACCCTCACTGTTGCGAAATCTTAAATCTCGCCTGTGCCGGTTTTATCGTCTATGTTATATCGCACACTCTATCATTGATATTGAACACTCTAAATATATATATATCACTCATGGGTTTATTTAATATACACACTCCGTACAGTCACTCTACTTTCCTTGCATTAACCCTCACTACAACCTTCTCCGACAACACTCTTTTCCAATCTCCCTTCCCTATCTTACGTTCCCTGTACCACTCTCTCTCTGCCGCGAAAACCCCGAACCCACACACAATGTATCCATTATCGTAAACATCTATAAAAAGTCACTCCCCCTACACGTCATCGCTCCCCAGCCGGCGCCGCCACGCCGAACCGATTCTCCGAGACTTTCTTACACATCATCCATATCTACACATTCACAGTCTACAATCATCTGATATCATCAACAGTACATATTCATACAATTATACATTATGCTATACGGTTATACATGATATTTCCCAACACTTTGCGTAACTCTCGCGTGCGTGTAACTCTGTGATGCAGGGACCGTGTGGCAGCGGTGTGGCAGGTGCTGCGGGATCACATCTACAGTCTCGTAGTCAACGCTCAGGAACACACCTTCCTTCTGGAACGCTCCGTCATCGGCCTCCTACGCCTCGCCATACGCCTCCTCCGCCGAGACGAAATCGCTTACCAGGTACGAAGTCGTTAACAGGTAAAGCATCAGTAACAGGTAGGGGGCAGGATTACCACATACCGTATATTATCGCGTAATAACCGCGGGCGCCTATAAGCCGCACCTCAATTTGAATCGGGTAACCAAGTATTGCGCCTAGTATATTTCCCCTCACGGTATGGCGCACTTATAAACCGCAGAGCAAATACAGGGTTGAAATCTGAGGCCAAATTTGCGGTTATTACGCGAGTATATACGGTAGGCATCTCTCACGCGCGCGTGCGTATCTCTACAGGTGGTGGTGTCGCTGCGGATGCTGCTGCTAGCGAAGGCTTGTGTGCTGTACAGCGTATCTCGTCACGTCGCGTACGGCCTTCATGAGCTGCTGCGCACCAACGCTGCCAACATCCACACCAAGCAGGACTGGTTCACGCTCTTCGCCCTGCTGGAATGTGTCGGAGCTGGCGCGGCGCCACCTAGTGTCAAACAGGTCACCGCGGAGGCGGCGGCGGCGGAGGCGGGGGCGAAGGCGGCGAAGGCGGCGAGGCTTCGTTCACGTCCTACAGGTAACACGAGCAGCATGAACTTGATCATACTCATAGAGACAAATAGATGGTTACTCATCGTTGACATAGATGCTGCATGATCTCTTAACCTCAATCTAAGATAAATTGTTGTTGCTGTCGTTTTTGTTGTTGTTGCTGTTGTTGTTTTGGCCATTGTCTTTGTTGTTGTTGTTAATATTATTACTATTATTATTGTATTTATTTGAAAATAATACATTAAAATGTTAATAACATATACTATTTTCTATGTTATTTTCATACTAACTACGAGTGAATAATGTTACGTAACATTCGATATGTGTTGTACACAGGGTATATATGTATGTATGACATATATATATATATAGTATGTACAGTATATATGTGTTGACAGGGGGAGCGCAATCCGATTCTGAGATAGGGGGCAGCAGTGCAGCGAGCGACGGCGGCATGTCGGACCGGGGTTACACGTCGGACAGCGAGCTGTATGAGAACAAGGACAAGCTGGAGGTTCATCCCGTCTCCAGCAGCGAAGGCTGGATGGTGGTGAAGGTACTACTCGTACTCTAGTTCACACGCATGTGTTCAGTTACACGTACACTCACCTACACGATATGATGTGGAGAGAGAGAGAGAGAGAGAGAGAGAGAGAGAGAAGAAAGCAGGGTAGTAGGAAGGGCAGGATGATGCAAAAAATCTAGAGAAGTAAATAAGTTCTAAGCATTTCTAAGAGATAATCTAGTTAAGTACTCGAGCTGCACCTGGTCAACGTGAAATACTCTTATAACAGGTGTGCAAGTTAATCCTGCATCACTATCGACACGCTGCAGCCTTTACACATTAATAACTCCTCTCA